AGAGCTGAAGTTAGAGTAGTTGGTAATTTAATTTAGATACTTTTGTGTAGGTGTACTTACATAAAACAATGATTTAATAGATTCCAGAAATCAATACTGACCTGACCACATCTGCTCAAACCAGGCAATTTAAGGAGAATAGAAAGGGAAAGAGGAAGAAAATTAGGTTTAGCCATACGGCAGAAAGCTATTAGAAAAGTTATATGTGAGAGGAAGAATGTGGGAATGGAGGATGGTCCTAACTCTGCTCATTACCTAGCAGACCCCAGAGATAGGCAGGTTAAAATTCACTTATTTTAGCTGGATGTGGTAGTGTACACCCATAATGCCCAGCACCTGAAGGCTGAGGCAGAAGGATCATGAGTTTGAGCCTAGCCTGGGCTATGTTGTGAGCCGTGTCTCAAAAAAAGTTTTTTTAAAGGGCTTATTTTGCACTTAGAGTTAAGTCGTAGTTAGCTGATCTTAGTTTGGTATTTGATGAAAAGTTTATAAATTGAACAAGGAGAAACAGGGATTCATATTAGCAAGAATGTTGGCTGGGGTATGGTTCAGTAAAAGAGAACATATTTAGCATGCATGAGGCCCGGGATTTAAGCCCTCATGCTGACCCCTCCCCATGTTGGAGAAAGGTTGATATTAGGGGGGAGGGACCTCTTTGATTCCTGCTGGGCATGGTGGTGCATGCCTGTAATACCAGTACTGGGGAGGCTGAGGCAGGATGATTGCCAGGAATTCAAGCCCAGCATGGGCTACATAGTGAAGCCCTGTCTCAACCCGATCCCTGCAAAACCCAATTACTTCTATTTCTTCTAATTACTGAGGAAAATAAGTTCAGGCAGGTCTCAGGAATTTTAGACATTTCAGCTGATTAATTGATTCATATATTTAACAGCATACATCCAGAATAGGTCATTAAGAGAGACTATCTGGAATCTGATTTAGTCATGGTATTTGCTAAATGGAAAATTATTTGGGGAATGGGGAAAAGGGTCTCACAGTTTTGCTCAGGTTGGTCTAGAATGAGTGAGCTGCCATCCCCAGTAAATGAAATTATTTTGATATGGAGCATTGACAGAGAAAAGTGAACTGTAAATGGAATAGTTTTGATATAGGGAATGAAGGTAAAGGAAAAACAGCCTCTAAATTAGATCTCCAGAGTATTCATTCAGATGTATTGATTAGGTAGATTAGGATTGAGGGCTGATGGATGGGAGAAGGGGCAAGTTGGTGGAAGGACAAGTTCTTGATCAACTATTTGTATTTTTCTTCCCCCATTTGGTTTTTTGATACAGGGACCCACTGTGTAGTTCAGGCTGGCCTTGAGTTCACTATGCAGCCCAGGCTGCTCTTGAACTTCTGACGATCTTCCTTTCTCAGCCTGAGTGCTGGGACTACAGGCATGCACTACCATGCCTGGCTTTTGTCAAGGTTGGTTTATTGAGCAGTAGAAAGGATGTAAGAGTGGTGGTATAGGTCTGCCATTTGGATTATATTAGCTGCATATGAACCTTGCGGAGTGCAAACTCGAGAATAAGGAGCCTTAGGAAAGGGGAGGTGGGCTCGGGATGGTGGCACACACCAGTCCAGCACTTGGGAAGTTGATACAGGAGGATCACATGAGTTTGAGGCCAGTCTGGACTACATTGCAAGACCCTGCCTTTACTTTTTTTTTATTTTTTTATTTTTTTGAGACAGAGTTGCCATGTAGTTCAGGCTAGCCTTGAACTCAGAGCAGTCCTCCTGCCTCAGCCTCCCAAGTGCTGGGATTACAGGCATGCGCCATCACACCTGGCCTTGCCTTCAAATTGAATGAATGAATGAATGGGAGGTGGCTGATCATTGGTACCAGGGCAAGGTTTTTGACAGTGAGACTGGAGCTATTGCAAATGGGAACAAGAGATTTGGCAGTGGTTTGGATGGAAGTATCTGAGGGGGATCTTCTGGATTTGTGGAGGCCATGAGAATAATTTCCTCTTACAAAGCTATTTCATGCTCTTTGGTTCACATTGTACAACAGCCTTGTAAGTATCATTTTGCACATTTTCTAGGTGAGAAAACGAAGGCTCAAAGAGGATTAAAGTCTTAGTTCTGGTTGCCTATTAAAAATATGTGGGAAGCCAGTCATGGTGATGCATGCTTATAATCCCATGTGCTCCTGAGGCTGAGACAAGACAATTGCACATTTGAGACCAGCCTATACAACTTATCCAGACCCTATCTCAAAATAAAAAGTAGATTTGGGGTAGAATGCTTGTCTAGCATGCATGAGGCCTTCAGGTCAATGCCCAGTTCTGTAAAAAGAAAAAAAAATAATGTGGGAGATATTTTTAAAAACAGTAATCCTACCACTCTGGAGGCTGAGGCAGGAGGATCTCCATGAGTTTTGAGGTGAACCTTGGCTACATAGTGAGTTCAAAGCTAGTCTGAACCACATAGGGAGAGCCTGTCTCAAGAAGAAACCAAAACAAAGAAAAAAGAAAAAAAAAAGCAGTGAGGCAGGCCTTGGCCTTGCCCCTAATGATTGTGTAGCTGTTCAGAGGCTCCACTGTTTTTTAAATACTTCCCAGGTGATTCTAACATGTAGCCAAGGTAGAGAACCATAGAATTGTCTGCCAGGAAACAGCAGAGGCAGAACTTGAAACTTCATCTTTTGTCTCTGAGCTTCAAATTTTTCTACACCCCTACAAACCTCCCTCTCATTTTCTTCCCATATGGCATCTCCTACTTTTCATGATACTTCATTCCAGACAGTCACAGAACCTCTCACTGGATGTGAGGGTGGTGGAGGTATTAGTGCCTGGTCTGGTTTTCATCTGCTGTTCTTCTTTGCACAGTTTCTGGAGAACTAGGAGCTGGTAGTAATCACTTCTCTGGGCCTTTACAAATGTTACTTCTTAGGCTTCTTTTGACCTCATCTTCCCACTATCCCCAGCTTCTATCCTTCAGGCTCCAGCTAGGACATCTGACCAGGCACAGTGCCACACACCTATAATTGCTGCTATGGAGGCAGGAGGAGCAAGAGTTTGAGGACAGCCTGGCTTAGTGAAACGCTGTGTCAAAATTTAAATTGGGTGTGGTGGCGTATGCCTGTAATCCCAGCACTTGGGAAGCTGAGGCAGTAAGGATCATCATGAGTACAAGGCCATCCTGGGCTACATAGGGATTTCAAGGCCAGCCTGAATGACATAGGGAGACTTTGCCTGAAAAACAAAAACCAAAGAACAGGTTCCCCAGTAGCTCTCTACCCCATCAATTTGTTTTGTTTGTTTGCATTGCTGGAGTTTGAATCCCAGGCCCTTTGCATGCTAGGCAAGTGCTCTGCAACTGAGCTACATCCCAGCCCTATATAAGAAATGTTTTCCTCACCAAATTATAAGCTATAAGAAGCCAGAGGCCAAATCTATTTTGTTACATCTCCTGGTGCCTAACAGATTTCTCAGTAAGTGGCTACTATGGAGTGCACTTCTATACAGTCCTAAGAAATTGCAAACTTATGTCCAACCCCATTTCCAAAGTAGGTATCCCCTGCTGCATCTTTGTGAAACTTGTCACCCTATGTACTGTCTTTACTGTCTGTCATTTCCACCATTTTGTCTATCATCTCTTTTCTTATACCTAAGGTAATTGCTGGCTTCAACCGCCTTCGGCAGGAACAGCGGGGCCTGGCATCTAAAGCAGCTGAGCTGGAGATGGAGTTGAACGAGCACAGGTGAGAAAGTCAGAGTAGAACGGGTGGGTGGGCCATTTCATAACAGGGGTGCAGTAGAGCGGGAGTGAAATCTGAGGTCCTGCCTTGTCCTACTCCAGCCTAGTGATCGACACACTGAAGGAGGTAGATGAGACTCGCAAGTGCTTCCGCATGGTTGGAGGTGTGCTGGTAGAGCGGACTGTCAAAGAGGTGCTGCCTGCCTTGGAGAATAACAAGGAGCAGGTAAGTGAGCAAGAATCCTGAGTAGAAATTTTGGACAACCAAGGGATAAAGAAGAAGGAGAGCCCAGGCATCTAGGGAATATGGTGGAGAGTCTGGGTAGAAACTCATATTGAAGATCAGTAGCCTGTGTTGTTCGCACTACAGTAAGTCCAGCTGCTTAATGAGGAATTGCTGCTGTACCCTTCGTCATGGGCTCTTTGATGTAGTTGGGTTGGGTAGGGAGTTCAGTGTGATCCACAGCGTGATCCACAGATACTTATGTCAAAATCACCTGAAGAGTTAGTTTATAATACAGATTCCTCTGTATTAGTTTATTATACAGCTTCCTTCCTTGGACCCATTGAATCAGAGCCTTGGGACTGCTATAAGTAACATTTGAAATATAAGTAGCTGAGGTGATTCTTGTATTAAAATTTATAAACAGCTGTGTTTGAGAAAGGAATCACTTTTGTGTCTGGGCTAGGCATAGAAGTGTCATCCCTTTTACTTTTCCTTAGCATACATTCCAGATGGGGGAGGAGAGGCCTGAAATCCTTATGTAATTCCTGGTGTTTGCCTTGCAGATACAGAAGATCATCGAGACACTGACCCAGCAGCTTCAGGCAAAGGGAAAAGAACTCAATGAGTTCCGGGAAAAGCACAACATTCGTCTCATGGGAGAAGATGAGAAGCCAGCAGCCAAGGAAAACTCGGAAGGGGCTGGGGCTAAGGCCAGCTCAGCCGGAGTGTTGGTCTCGTAGGGATCAGGCCCTGCATTTTTTCTACCCTGACTCCCACTTCTAATTTCTCTTTGTTATTATTATTGTTATTTTCTCTTCTATTGTAATATTTTTTTGTTGCTAATTAAATGTTTTGGTTAGAATGCTTAGCTGTAGCCTGAAACTTTATTCCAATTTAAGAGCAAAGGACAGCATATGATTTGTGGTTTTTGTTACCATCGGATCAATAGCTTACAGTATCAGAAAGGACCTATACTTTGTCCTTTCCCTTGGAAATAAAGATGTTTCTATTTATTTACTGTCTCCCCCGCCCCCACCCCAAGAAAAAAACAAAGGCATTCAGAGACAAATACTGACTCTCACATTAGAATTTAATAATGAAGTGAGGCAGACAGCTCTGATGGTAATGCTCTGTGGCACTGTTCTTTAGATAAAGAGATCCAGGGTGCAAACCTGTGGGCTCGCTGTCCTGCCATCCTCACCAAAGCCCCCAAGCAGGTAAAGCTGATCGTTCCAGAGGCAGGTGCGATGGCCCACACGTTTCAGCCCACGGTCTGCACAGGGGAAGTGGAACCACAGGGAAGGAGACTTGCCTGTTGAGTGGAGGCAGAGGATGGTTATTCAGGCAGGAGCATTCTATCACCCATGGACACTTAACACAGCCAAATGCTTGCCCATTCTATTTCTCCTCACTTGGTCTGTGGGTGTTTTCAGATGTTTCTTAATTTACGTACTCTTAACTCTTGTTAAATAATTCTTCTTCCTACCACTCAGTTACTCCATCCTTTTTCTGAAGTCTTTCGATTCTGTGCCACCCCCATCCACCCCCCAGTCACCTGCCACCCTCATGGCTCACGAGTGTCATAGATGTAGAGGTCGTTGCAGATGGTGTCTCTAGCTCTGGTCAGACTTTCTCCACCAAACAGCACAGCAAAGGGCCCCACCACAGAGCAGGAGTGATGCCGCAGTCCCCGGGGCCCCTGTCGGGACCCCTGCCCGCTGCTTACAAGCCTTGCAAGCTGTTCCATCAAGTGAGGGGCAACAGGTGGCTGCTCCTTGGGGAGAAAGAAGGGACTGTGAAGGAATTTGAGCACCACAACTTTAGCCCTTTTCATCCTAATCAAGATTTGAATAATAATACCTTAATCTTCCCCTGACTCCACTGCCCAGCTACTTCTGGTTCGGCTGAATTGCAGCCCCCAAAGAGCAAAAGCTGATGACCTGGGTGGGGCCCAGGAGTTTGGAGCAGCGCAGCACAGTGACCGGAGCGAGAGACTGTGCGGCAGCCTTCTTCCTTGTAGCTGTAGATACACAGACATGCAGGCCCGAGTGGAGCTTTCCGGAAAAAGTGTGTTTTGCTACTTTCCCCCATCCCCCTTGTCAAGGATAGAAAGGCCAGGGGCGAACCCCTGGGAAGGTAAAACGAGAGCTCAGCTGTCCTGGGCAGATTCTGGGAAATAGTGCCGACCTGAGCCCGGAAGCTTTTCCAGAGGCTGTTTTTAGAGTTTGGACAGAAAGAGGGTTTGAGGCTTTAGGGGAGGGGTGCCATACCAATAGGTTCGGGAGGCAGGGTCCAGCTTTAACGCATAGATGCTTCCGTATCGACGCTGAGTGCGGACCCCGCCCTCTCGGCCCGCCACCCACAGCTCTCGGTCCGAGAGGCGAGTGCAAGTGTGACTGCTCAGGCCAGCAGGGGAACAGTTGCCAGGGGCCGCTTTCCACTCCTCCCACGCTCCACGCTCCGTGTCCAGCGCGGCCACAGTGGCCAGGCGCCGCGACCCATCCCAGCCGCCCACGATGCAGAGCCAGCGGCCGCCCACGGGCGCCGCGTCGTGGTGACTACGCGGGGCACTGCCCTGGGCTCCCAAGCGCACAGCCTGGGCCCCCGCCGGGTCGAAGACCACCGTGTCACTGCTGGGCGCTGTCGCTCCACCTGCTAGGAGCCCCCCTACCAGATAGAACCGACCCCCCAATTCGGTGCACGAATGAAAGGCCCGAGCCAGAAGCGCATCGCAAGCCACTGGCCGCCAGGTCCAGCTCGAGCCCCCAAACCGACCCCCAGGCACCGTGGCTGCCGCCATAGGCCCGGGGGCGGGGGCGGGGGCGGGTGGCGCTGCCCTCAGATACCAGGCCAGGTCCCCACCTCCAGACACCGCCTGCAATCCCCCGTTGCCCAGCAACCACTGCAGCTGCTGCGCGACTGCTGCAAACCGAAGTCGCAAAGTGCCGGTTACCGTGGAGACCAAAGAACTGGTGGCGTTAGGACGTCCGGCAGTGATGTTGCCCTGGCGACCCGAGGCGCGCTTGGTCAGTGAACATCCTGAAAGATCGCTAACCTCAGAAAGTCAGGGACCAAACAATTGTTCGAAGAACCCCTGTAGCCGCAGCTGCAAACTGATTTGGGATTAGGACCCAGAGAGGCAGGTTTGGTCCATGGCAGGGGCCGGGTCCTCTCAGTGTCGGGATTTCTAACTCGAACTGGCCTCCGCGAGGTGAGGGAGGAAAGAAGTCAGAGGTGAGGAAGTGAAAGTGGAGTTGGGAGACTTGGGCTGTGGTTCCAGACTATTTCCCCTGACTCTCTAGGCCTCCTCAGTGTTCTCATTTATAAAATGTACTGTTGATTTATCCAGTAGGTATCTAGACCTTCTGTGGTAAAGCGTGGGAGAGGCATCTCCGCAGCACTGGCCACTAGAGGGTAGTAGAACCCAGTTTCGCCCGCGCGCGCGCGCGCGCGCACACACACACACGGGGGTGGGGTGAAAATGGGAGCACGCGCGCACACACACACACACGCACACACGGGGGGGTGAAAATGGGAGCACGCGCACACACACACACACACACGCACACACGGGGGGGTGAAAATGGGAGCACGCGCACACACACACACACACACACACACACACACACACGGGGGTGGGGTGTAAATGGGAGCAGAATACGTGTGCATACCCGGTGTGCTTCCTTGAGTTGTGTGCTTCCTTGAGTTGGGTTGGGGAGGAAAAATACCTGAGGCATACTTGAGGCCCGGTCAACTTTTCTACTGCGTCCTAGTAAGAGGAATTATTTCATCTTGCCTCATCAGGCTCATACAACACAGACACGGAGGCACTGTGGCACCTGGAACTCAGGATTAACGACGGGGAGCTTCTCCTGATAAGATCCACAGCAGAAGCTGCCCAGCCTTAGAAGCTGGGTGGGGGTGAAATGGGGGAGGAGTGAGAAAAACAGACTCTGCCCCTCCCTGATACCTGCCTTTTGTTCAACCAGGTCCCTGAACTTCTTAACTCTGTCCCTCCAGGACCCAGTGAAGAGTATCACAGCCCAGATCCAAGCTCGCTAGATTGAACTGCAGGAGGAACTGCAGATTTACGCCTAGCCCAGCTGTGGTGGCATAGAGATAGGACCTGTGGCCCCCAGGGCTGGACTGTCAGGAATGATGGCTGCTATTTTTGCCTCTGGTTTCCACACATGGACTTGCTCCCCATTATGCCTGAGAAATTGAGGCTGTAGAGAACACCCAAGGCTTCAGCAGGGGTGGGCATGTGATTCAGGGGGCCAACAGCATAGCTGAGCTTTTTACTCCTGACCCCAGCTCTTGGTTGTCAGGGAACACAGTATGGGGAGGGTGTCGGCAGGAAGGCACGATTAAGCTGCAAGGTTACCTGAACCTGTTGCCCACCTGTATCTTAAAGCTGAGATTCAACATTGCTTTGAGATTCTCTGCCCACCCAACTATAGTTTTCCTTGTCTGACAGGCAGGATCCTTGGTTTTCCAAGACTATGGTTAAAAAAAAAAAAAAACCAACTCTTAAAAAAGCAAACTAACTTCTAATATACTTGGCTGAAATCTGAAAGCCAGCGCTGGGGATGTGGCTCAGTATTGGAGTCCTTGCCTTGTACGCACAAGGCCCTGGGTTCATTCCCCAGCACCACCAAAAAAAAAAAAAAAAAATCTGAAAGCCAGTTTTCTCCCTAAGGCTCCTCACTGGCTCACCTCCCAACAGCTGGACCCAGATCTGACACACTCCAAAGATTAGGCAAGAAGCTAAGGGGGTGGGGTCACTTTGCTTCAACTTGATTGGCCTATATGCCCATTTTAGGCTCTAGCTTTCGCCTGTCTTTCTCTGTTCTACCAGAGTCTTATTTTCTGCCTCTTGGGAGAAATAGGAACTCCCCAACCCAGGGGCTTTTTTAGCTTTTCTCTCCCAGATTTGTGTTCCTTTTCCTCCCAGCTCCCACTGGGACTCAAGAGTCCTTAGCAGTAGGCATATCACTTGGACATGGAGTCTGAACCTCATATATTCCTTGGCTGTTCCCCCTGCAGCTCTGTGTCTCTTCCAGGCCCACGTAGCAGAGACAGGTGTCTATGTATTGCTGCACCAACACTAGACCCAGGGAGAGGAGCTACCCAGGACTCCTACCTCCTCTGGCTAGTTTGAACCAAAGCCATATGTTGGAGGAGTCAGAAAAGAAACCAGAAAGTGGAGGAGGAGGTGGGGGAGAAAAGCAGCGAATCTGCCCTTGTGTGACACACACTTTAGGTCCCAGGACGGCATCTGAAATGGTATGAAATGACCAGTCATTGATATGCAAGCTGAAAGGGAATGAGGGGGTCGGGAGCTCCTGGTTCTCTGTTGCTGTGCCACCAGCGTGCAAGCTGGGTGCTTGGAGACTGGCGTGTGAGAAGCTCCAGAGAATTGGTATTGCCTGAAGTGTGTCTGATGGTGCAGCCTCTGTGGCCAGGCTGGGCTCTGGGAGCTGCTTCCGTGGGGCCCAATAGGTTGCTCTCTGTGTGGCTACGGGTGGGGACGGGGTCAATGAAGAGGACAACCCAGGTCTTCCCCAGAATCCATTCTCTCACCAGATTCTCAGGACCTTTGTCCTGCCCCCTCCTCACTGCAGCATCTTCTGCTGCATTGTCAGCACCGGAAGACTGAGTTCCACGAGGGCTCCTACTCTTAGGCTGTATTAGCCAGCACCTACGCCAAGACCCCTCTTTTTTTTTTTTCTTCCCGGTACAAGATTAAACCCAGAGCCTTCGCACTGAGCTACATCCCCAGGCTTTTTTATTTTTTTAAGTTTTAAGACAGGGTCTTGCTAAGTTGCTAAATTGCCCTGGCTGAGCTTGAACTTGCAACCCTCTTGCCTCAGGTTCCGAGGATGCTGGGATTACAAGTATATGCCTCTACACCTGGCTTCCAAGAGCCAGCCCAGCCAGAGACGTGGAATGAAATAATAAAGGCATCTGTCTGTCATCGTGTTGCTTGGCTCCCTGCCTCTGTGGGGATGTGTTCACAGAACCTTGATGAGAGCAAGGAGGTGGGACTCTGCATACAACTATTGAAAAGCAGGACCCAACTGTACCTAGCATCACAGGCAGCCTGCTTTCACCCTGGTTGGCTCACCCCAGCTTCAGGCCCCCTGAAGTTGGGAGGATGCTGTGAGGCAACCAGGAAATGTGGCTGTTGGTAAAGGATGGGGCTGGGTATCGGGGAACCAGCAGATAAGAGCAACACAGCACATGGCAATGTTTAGATGGAAAATCCTGAAGAGCACGAGGCCACCATCCCAGTCCCAGGCACAGTGAGGCTGGCCCTGGAGAGGAGCAGAGGCGGTTGTCAGTGGAGGAGAAGCAGCGGTGCCGCTGTGTCCTGCGTGGGCTCTCTTCCCAGGGAGGGGGCAGTCCTCCGGAGGGGCAGGAGGCGTGAATTTGATGCTGCTACTTGCAGTAGCTTCTGTCCTGGGACAGGATCAAGTCCCGTGTCAGTAATCTTCCACCACATCAATCAGCTCCTCAACACCTTTCTGTACAGACTGTGTGGAGCCAGGGCAAGGAGACCAGGAATAGTTTACTCCACTGAGAGACCAAGCTTTGCAGAAATGGACTGCAAACACTGAATCCACATTTATTTTTCACCTACTTGAATTCTCATTTACTATTCACCCTCTTCTCTCCCAAAGCTGAAGGGTCTCCCCACCAGCCTTTGACTCTTCTTTGACCTGGGATTTCCCCGAAGACAAACAGGATGTTACTCACCCAGGAGCTCTCTGGTGTACCCTGACCCATCCTTCTCACACCCCACCCCAACCCTTCCACCCTGACCCACCCTCCCCCTCCCTGATCGTTCAGTCCGACCCTCACTCTCACTCTTCTCCCACACCCCACCCCACCCATCCTTGTCCCTCCCTGACTCACCTCAGGTCCCACTGACACAAACAGAAATTTCCGCACAACCCACTCCGACCGGTTTGGCTTAGGTGTACAGCCTGTCATGGAGACAGAGGCAGGTTCAAGCGGATGCTGGGATGTACAGTATGCAGTTAATGAACGTCCACAGTTACACACGCAGACAGCTCTGGGTATGCACATGACATGCATACACAGAGACTCATAGAGGACGCACGATGATGGAGAGAATGCGTTATAGATGTTTATATGTCTGTCTCCTCTGGCTGGGGGTTCCCTGGAGGCATGGCCGTGTGCTATTTGCCTCTGTCACCTCCCTTGAGCCTGACATTCAATGTTTGTCGAGGGCTGGCAGTGTGGTTCAGAGACAGAGTGCTTCCTGAGCATGCAGGAGGCCCTGGGTTTAATCCCCAGTATAGCAAAAGAAAACAAAATCTGTTGGATGAACGCATGCACACAGGCATGCATGCAGTAATGCCACACAGACAAATACAGAAGCTAAAGATGCCACCATGGCTTGAATTGTTCCAATTCTTAAGGCCCAGAATGTGGGTGGGAGGAGGGTAGGTGGTGAGGCATGAGGGGAATGGGGATTCAAGGTAGAAGAAAAAACTGACAAGACAGTGATCTTGAAAATCTTCTAGATGCCATATTTTCTTCCAGCCCCTGCCCTGGAACGTGACTTCCCCAAGCTTCACCCCAGAAGAGGGTAAGAAAGGCCTATCTATAAGGCATAATCCCCAGAAGCATGGCCCTTGTGAGACTGCCTCCCTGCAGTGCTCCATGTGGCTGGAGTTGGGGTGAGTGACTGAGGGGTCCCTCTGTGGGCTCAGAGATGTCCTGGTTGGTAGCACTTTGGAAGAAGGAGCACATTGAATGGATAGGCTGCAGGAGACTGGGTGGCCAGCTTGTGATCTAACTGCTTTCCCATCCCGATGCCTCAGTTTCTCCTGTAGTTTCCGTACCTGGAGGGGGGAATCCGTGGGAAGGAAAAGAGCTCCTCTGAAAGCGAGCGATAGGATCCAAGGTGTCATAATTATAATTATACCACAGGATGCTCGCCCGCCCCTTCCCCCCCCCGGCCCTACCCTACCCCGCCACACTGGATCTCAAAGCAGCATCGGGGTGGGGCTGTCCCCCTGGCATAGGTGGGGACCGGAGTCCTGAAGAGGGGAAGGGGTTTGCCAAGGTGGAGGTGGAGAGAAACTGGGGAGTGCTGGCGTGCAGCCTGAAGGGAACAGTCCTCAAAGAAGAGGTCACTGCTGTGGTCGATGCAGAAAGCTGTGACCTAGAGCCAGAGATGGTGTCACAGCCCAGAGGCAGGTTGACGTCTAGATCTCAACCCAGTTCGAGACAGTAACTCACAGTCAGTCACCACCTTCTCCATACTGCTGGTCACTTATACAGCAATGCAGTCCTTTGACAAAAGTGCATTCGGTGCCCATTAGGTGCTAGGAACTGTTTCAGCATCCACGACTGAGATGTGATTATAAAGCAGAGGTGTAGTTTACAGACTACACCTCTCCTGCTGCCCCTCAGTGTAACGTATGTACTGAATCCCTGGCACACAGCAGGCTTCAATCAATGTTTCTTGAGTTAAAGCTTACAATTTAGTTAAGGAGATAAGATGTACACAAATTATGAGTACATAAGCTATAATAAAGGGACGAGCAAAGGCTGAGGGAGAATAGAACAGAGAAAGATTAATCTGGGGGTGGGAGGAGCTGAGAAGGCTTCATGAGAGAGATGGCATTTGAGGTCACTTTTGAGAGATTAATAAGATTTGACAGGTAAGTAGTTGGAGGTGTAGCTCAGCGACAGAGCACTTATATGCGTAAGGTCTTTGATTCCCCCACCATAAACAAAGAAGATTTTGACGGGTAGGGTTGGTGGGGTAGTAGTAGAAAATATTGTAAATAAATGCCACCCCCTGCCTTACTGGCCGTGTGTGTGTGTGTGTGTGTGTGTGTGTGTGTGTGTGTGTGTTACAGTACTTGGGATAGAAGGGCCTTTGAGCTAAATTATATCTTCAGCCCTTTGTATTTTTCATTTTGAGACAAGATCTTGCTAAAGGGGGCTGGGGATTTAGCTCAGCGGCACAGAGCCTGCCTTGCAAGTGTAAAGTCGTGAGTTCAAATCCTGGTACGGGAAAAACAAACAACCAAACAAAAAAGATCTTGCTAAATTGCTTGGGTTGAGCTCAAACCTGTGATTGCCCTGCCTCAGCCTCCCAGAGTGCTGGAATTACAGGTGTGGCCCATGCATCTGGCCCCAGCCCAATACTGTATCTTAATTTCTCCTTCTTGCCCCTCTCCACACAGAAGGACTCTGTTGCAAGAGTTTAACCCACACTTTTTTGTTCTTTCATGTCTATCTCTATATTTACCTGTTTTACTTTTGTTTTGTTTTGTGAGGTTTTTTTTTGTCCTATTCTGCCAGAGATCTTGCTTCTCTACTTCACTAAGTTTTCTGGGGATTCACAATATATCCCCTTCCCCCAGCCTCCTAGGTAGGCCAGTAGGGTTTTTTGTCACCTGATGGTCACATACAAGATGGAAGCACGTGATCAGACAATGTGAGTATACTTACAGGAGCACAGGGACACAATATTTGAAATCAAGATTGTCCTTGCAATATCCAAACACATGATCTTCCTTGTGCCTATGGAACAAAGTGGAAAAAATAGCCATGGAGAGGATGCAAGAATTCAGGCGTGGTGGCACACACCTGTAATCCCAGCATTCAGGAGGCTGAGGCAAGAGGATCGTTGTGAGTTCAAGACCAGCCCGGGCTACAAAGTGAGCTCAAGGCCAGTCTGAACTCCATAGCAAGACCCTGTCTCAAAAAGACTAAAAAAAAAAAAAAAAAAAAAAAAAAAAAAAAAAAAAAAGAGAGAGAGAGAGAGGATGGAAGAGATCTGCCCCCATGCAAGTTGTGCTGGTGCACTTTTGGGGCTCCTGGTATCAAGGTGCTGAAGCTGCAAGGTCCCTGAGAGGGAAGCCAGGCATCTATGTATAAGGTGAATTCTTTTTTTTTTTTTTTTTTTGGTACCAGAAATTGAACTCAGGACTTTGCACTTGCCAGGAAGGTGCTTCTACTGCTGAGCTAAAGCCCCAGCCCCTGTACAGAGTGAATTCTTTGGTCAGTCCCTGGTTTCTACTGTATACCATAGGAGTGAGGTCAGAGAGGATCACTTAGGTTCCTTCTCAGGGGTCTTTAAACCATTTGCCTGCCTTAGGAACACAGGTGTCTGAGCAAACCATGATACTAAGATTTGTGTGTTCTCTAGCTGGGCGTGGTGTCCCAGGCCTGTAATCCTAGCACTTGAGGGGCTGAGGCAGGAGGATCTCCATGAATTTGAGGCCAGCCTGAGCTATATAGTTAGTTCAAGGCCAGCTTGGACTACATAGTGAGACCCTGTCTCAAAAAAGGAAAGAAAGAAAGGAAGAAAGGAAGAAAGGAAGAAAGGAAGAAA